CGTCACCACACCTGGCTAATTTTTGTATTTTTAGTAGAGACAGGGGTTCACCATATTGGTCAAGCTGGTCTTGAACTTCTGACCTTGTGATCCACCTGCCTCAGCCTCCCAAAGTGCTGGGATTACAGGCGTGAGCCATTGAGCCTGGCCTGAGACGGTTTACTTATTAAGAACCCAGGCGGCCAGGCTCACGCCTATAATCCAAGCACTTTGGGAGGCAGAGGCAAGCAGATCATGAGGTCAAGAGATCAAGACCATCCTAGCTAACATGGTGAAACCCCATCTCTACTAAAAGTACAAAAATTAGCTGGGTGTGGTGATGCATGCCTGTAATCCCAGCTACTCAGGAGGCTGAGGCAGGAGGATTGCTTGAACCCAGGAGTCAGAGGTTGCAGTGAGCTGAGATCCTGCCACTGCACTTCAACCTGGTGGCAAAGCAAGACTCCGTCTCCAGAAAAAAGAACCCAGGCTCTGGAGTTAAACTCCCAGGTTCCCACAGCCTGATACCAACACGTTGTAGCTATGTGACCTTGGGTGAGTTCCTTAACTTCTAAATGACTCAGATTTTTCATATGTAAAATGGGAATAACAATAAGTACCCATCTTATGGAGCAAATGAAAGCAACTAAGTAGCAAAGTATTAGGCAGTTTACATAGATAACCAGGTTTCATGCGAGTATTATTAGAAAGTATTATGTATTTATTGAACTCTTACATGGTTTGGGAACAGTGCTTGGTATTTCTTTTTTCTTTTTTTTTTTTTTTTTTTGAGACGGAGTTTCGCTCTTGTTACCCAGGCTGGAGTGCAATGGCGCCATCTCGGCTCACCGCAACCTCCACCTCCTGGGTTCAGGCAATTCTCCTGCCTCAGCCTCCTGAGTAGCTGGGATTACAGGCACGCGCCACTATGCTCAGCTGATTTTTTGTATTTTTAGTAGAGACGGGGTTTCACCGTGTTGACCAGGATGGTCTCGATCTCTTGACCTCGTGATCCACCCGCCTCGGCCTCCCAAAGTGCTGGGATTACAGGCGTGAGCCACCGCGCCCGGCGTCAGTGCTTGGTATTTCATTACCTCATTTAATCCTCACGATGACCTTGACAGAGGTTCATAATTATCTTCATTTTACAGATCAATAGATTGAGGCTCAGAGAGCTGAACTGAATTATCCATCCAAGTTATTGTCCCAAGTTATCCATCCAACTAGCAAAGGGTAGAGTCAGATCACGAACCTGTCTGCCTTCCAAATTCTTTTCAATACATCAACCTTGTCTCTAAAAGAGAGGTTTCCAGAGTCCTCCTACCTGAGCAAGACTAGGCTGTCTGGAATATTTCTTCCCACCTTCCTGGCAGAGCACACCCAGCCCCGGTCCCGCCTCCCCAGTTGGGAGCTGGCTGGCTGGCTGGAATTCGTGTCTGGGCAGCAATTCAGTCAACCACACTTATTTTGCTTTCAATGCACACGCCTGGGAACTGAGCCAAACTGCAGAGAGGCATCATCGGCCAGGGTGGGACTGGGGGTTGGATTTATCAACCGCTTCCTTCTGCTCCCCGGATGCGTCCGCACCGCACTAGCCCTTAGAAAATCCTCCTGCCCCAGGTCTGAGCAGAGGCATCTGGAGGCCGGGCTCGCTGCTTCCGTGCGCCACCTCGAGGGCACTTCAGTTACTGCATCAGCCAGCGTGCTCGCAAAGGGCAAATCATTGTGACCCCCAGGTAAGGACAACTGAGAACAGGCAACTTTCTTCCCTGCCACCATGATATCCTTCCCGGTCGGCTTCCTGGTACTCCAGCTGCAGTTCCCGGAGCATCGTGCTCACTCCCACTTCCACAGCTTTGCGCGTGCCATTTCTTTCTGCTTGAAATGACTCTCCTGACTTGTCTCCCCAACTCCTCCTATTCGACTTTCCATTCTCAGCGCAAATAACTTTCTCTTCCACGAAGCCTCCTTTGACTTTTCTAGTCATGTTGTGAGAGGCTTCCTATGTTCCCACGGTGTTTTATACCTCCCCCCGACCAAAAATATGCATTTTGGTGTCTGCTTCTGCACTCATGGTTAGCCCTATGAAGGCAGAGATCATGAGTTTCAATCTTTGCCTGGCCTTAGAGTCCATGTTTCCTGCAAGATTTACTTCTCTATTTCATCTTTCATATTCATATTCATATTCATTTTCATATTTCATATTCCCCCTCCTTCTCACCTTACCCCTACTTTGGCCCAAGTCATAGTATAGTGACAACCAAAAATGCCTCCATACATTTCTAAATGACCCCTGCAAAGATACATTGGTCTAGAACCAGGATGACACTGGAGCCACTGTTCCTAGGCCTCACCCACACCAGACATTGCTAATTGACTGCAGAACTTTTTCTACAGCCTCAGATTCCCTCTCCAATCAGCACTGCAGATAGCTTCCACTCATCAGCTGGAGCTGGCTGCCACATTGGAGGTGCGCAGTACAGCCCAGGCCTGTTCAATCTTCATAAAACCTTAAACAACCTCATTTTTGTGTCTCTACTTTTCTTTCCAATGGCAGTCTTACGATACATTAGGCTTAAAATAATTGTGCAGCTCCCACACCTACTCTCCCACAAGCCAACACCCTTATCATCCTATCAGGGTGCCCTAAAAGCCAGTATGGCCCATGGACCCTGATCATTCTCCTTGATCTTCTGCTTGGCCACTTCCTGGCCTGGCCTGCTCTCTTTGGCTCTGTTTCTCCTGCTCTGATCTTTGACCACTCCTTGGACCACACTTCACACCCACTCCTTTATCCACAATCTCTCCTTGGTGCTCTCATCCAGGTTCCTCAGATGCCGGTTACACATTAATGACTACGCAATTTTTGTTTTGTTTTGTTTTGTTTTGTTTTGTTTTGAGATAGAGTCTCATTCTGCCCCTCAGGCTGGAGTGTAGTGGTGTGATCTCGGCTCACTGCAGCCTCCACCTCCTGGGTTCAAGAAATTCTCTTGCCTCAGCCTCCTTAGTAGCTGGGATTACAGATGCCTGCCACCACGCCCACTAATTGGTGTATTTTTACTAGAGACAGGGTTTCACCATGTTGGGCAGGATGGTCTCGAACTCCCCGCTTCAAGTGATCTGCCTGCCTTGGCCTCCTAAAGTGCTGGGATTACAGGTGTGAGCCACTGCCCTGGGCCTTGACTCTGCATTTTATATTTCCAGCCCAGACTTTCTTCCTGAACTGTAGCCTCATCTAATCCAACTGCATATTCAACTTCTCCAACTGAATGACTAACACAAGCCTCAAATCCAACACATTGAGACCTGAACTCTGGATTTTCCCCTCCAAGCTGATTTGCATAAGCACAGTCTTCCCCATGCCAATTCATGGCAACTCCATCCTTGCAGATGCTCAAGTGAAAACTCTTGGACTCATCCCTGACTCCTCTGTTTCTCTCATTCCCCACATCCAATCTGTCAGGAAGTCCTGTCAGCTTTCCATTAAGATATATCCTGAAACCACCCCTTCTTCCCACCTCCACCATTACCTCCCTGATCCGAGCCACCATAATAGCTTGGCTGAATTACTGCAACAGCTTCCTGGCTGGTGTCGCTGCTCCTTCATTCCTGGCACAGCAGCCAGACCCATCCTGACACATTCGGTAACATCGTTCCTGCCCTCAGTGCCCTCCAGTAGCTCCAGCTTTACTCAGTCCCCAACCCTCCCCATCGCTTAAACTGCTCCAGTCCGCGACCACTTCACTGTTCCTTGACTTTGCCAGGCACACCCCCACCTCAAGGCACTTGGCTTGGAATGACCCCAAAATCTGCTTGGCTAAATCCCTCTTTCAAGCTTTTGCCTATAGGTCACTTCCTCAATGAGGCCTTTTCTGACAGCTCCATGAGTATCCTTCCCCAATCTTCTTCCCTCTCCTCTTTTGTTTTCCATAGTACTTGTTACCTTCTAAGCTTTACCCATCTCCCCCTACTTAGAATAAAGGCCCCCACAACTGCATGGATTTTTGTCTCTTTTGTGCATTTCTGTATCCCTGGCACCTAGAACAGTTCTTGGCACACAGTAGGCCCTCAATAAATATTTGATGACTAAATGACTTGATGATTTATGCTACTTTTGGGTAGACATCCTAGCCAGTTCAGCCCAAATCCAGAGAGCCCACTCCAGGTGTAGGCTTTCTTTTTTTTTTTCTTTTTTCTTTTCTTTCTTTCTTTCTTTCTTTGTTTTTTTTTTTTTTTTGTGGCCGTTTTTGGAGCTGGAGTACAGTGGCATGATCTTGGCTCATGCAACCTCTGGCTCCCAGGTTCAAGTGATTCTCCTGCCTCAGCCTCCCAAGTAGCTGGGATTACAGGTGCCCCTTATCATCCTACCAGGGTGCCCGAAAAGCCAGTATGGCCCATGGACCCTGATCATTCTCCTTGATCTTCTGCTTGGCCACTTCCTGGCCTGGCCTGCTCTCTTTGGCTCTGTTTCTCCTGCTCTGATCTTTGACCACTCCTTGGACCACACTTCACACCCACTCCTTTATCCACAATCTCTCCTTGGTGCTCTCATCCAGGTTCCTCAGATGCCAGTTACACATTAACAACTAGCTAATTTTTGTATTTTTAGTAGAGAGGGGTTTCACCATGTTAGTCAGGCTGGCCTCAAAGTTCTGACCTCAAGTGATCCACCTGCTTTGGCCTCCCAAAGAGCTAGGATTACAGGCATGAGCCACTGTGCCCAGCCTAGGTGTCAGCTTCCAAGACTTCTGTCCTCACCGGGTTCAATCGGACCTTGAGACTGGTCCCCCCACAGTGATGGGGCGACAGCAACCAGTCAGCCGCTTCAGGGAAGGAGCCACACCTCTGATTCGGGGGCCCACTCAGTCTCACTGTGTGGGTCTTAAAATATGGGGGCAACATAACGTAGGAGGTTTCTTCCTTCCCTCCTTTCCCCTGCCTCAGGCTCCCTCCATAAAAACAGAGAGGGGGACACAGGCTGAATAGGATGTTGGGATGGAGAAGGCTGTGGCCTCCTTTACCTTTCCACCGATGGCCTTTTTGGAGAGGAGGTGGCAGAAGACTTGAAGTCCACAGAGTCTCTCCTGAAAGAAGAGAAAGCGGCGATGAGACTGCTTTGTAGGCTAGCATCAGCACTGACAGGAAGGTGGGGACAAAGCATCCTGGGAAAAGGCCTGCTGGATTGAGGCTAAGGAAGCCCACCCGGACCACAGCTACCTGGGAGGGGGAGCTCCAGGCGGTGCTGGCTGGTCATGACCTTCACCTCCCCTCCATCAAGTGAGGCAATACAAAGGAAGGAAACAGATATCTGCCAAGGGCCTAACACAGGCCATGTATGTTGCATGTGCTGTTGCTCACTATTAATAACTAACTCTCAGCAGGCCCCTGTCCTCCTGACTGTCAGGCAGGCCTTAGCTAAATGGAGTCCACAGAGACTGGATTCCTGGAGTTGTCTGTACTCATCTGGAACTGGAGAAACAGAGAGATCAGCTTCAGCCTCCCCGGCAGGCACTTTCGGAGGAGGAGAGGAGAACTACATGGGCCTTGGGGATAGAAGAGCTGGGTTATAATAGCAATCAAAAAAGCAGGAGACAAAATTAGATGTGGACTGTGCCTAAAGTCATGCAAGAAAACCAATGCCCAGGAGGAAAAACAGACCGGAAGAAAATGCACTCAAATGCTAACCACTGCTACGGCTAGGGTGAGGGGATTAAAGGTGAATTTTTTTTCAATTTTTCCAAAATACATGCAGCAACATTCTTTTTATGATACATAATGTAGTTCTTCCTTTTATTGGTTTTAGAAAATTTATCTGTTTGTAAATTGTAAATGCCACTCCCCATGTCACTTACCCTGCCCTCTTTTTAATTCCATAGCACGTGTCACCTTCTAATATACTATATAATTTACTCCAGGCTGGGGTGCAGTGGTGCTATCTAGGCAGCTCACTGCAACCTCCACCTCCCAGGTTCAAGTGATTCTTCTGCCTCAGCCTCCCGGGTAGCTGGGACTACAGGTGTGTGCCACCATGCCTAGCTAATTTTTTATTTTTGGGATGGAGTCTTGCTCTGTCACCAGGCTGCAGTGCAGTGGCACGATCTTGGCTCACTGCAACTTCCACTTCCCATGTTCAAGCAATTCTCCTATCTCAGCCTCTTGAGTAGCTGGGACTACATGTTCCTGCCACCATGCCCAGCTAATTTTTGTATTTTTAGTAGAGACGGGGTTTCACCATGTTGGCCAGGATGGTCTCAAACTCCTAACCTCAGGTGATCTGCCTGCCTCGGCCTCCCAAAGTGTTGAGATTACAGGTGTGAGCCACTGTGCCTGGCCAATTTACTTATTTATATTTAATTATATTTATTGCCTGACACCCCATGTAAATTCCACAAGAGCAGCATTTGGCAGGTTTTGATCACTGTGGTGGACACTGTGTGTGCTGAGCCCACTTCCCCTTCCTTGGGTGCTCCCTCTCTCATTGCCTCTGGACCCAAGAGCTGCCTCCTGCAAGCTCCTCAGGGCCTCTGCCTGAGGGAGTTCTCCCCCTCAGCTAGGCTGGCTGGAAGTGCTGGTCATTAACTAATGACCCCAGGAGCAGCCTTCAACCAGACACATGGGAGAGGGAAAGAGAGGTCCTCGTTCACATGCCCCTGCACTCCCACAACGGGCCCTGGGAGTTCCGTGGGGTTTCTCTCCAGTGCCCCTTGGGGATAGACAATGCAAGCAGGAACCAAGAGCTGGAATTCCTACAGTGGGAGAGAGGAGAGAGGAGAGAAGACACGAGCCTCTGCCCCAGAGAACCACCACTTTCTGACTCTTCCTCGTTGCTTTTCTTTTTAGAACAAATCAGAAATACTCTGCAGTTATTGCAAATGACTGTTCTGAAAACTATTCAGGAACATGAAAAAAATGCTTGAATACAATAGCAAGATAGCCAGGAGTGGTGGCTCATGCCTGTAATCCCTGCACTTTGGGAGACCGAGGTGGGTGGGTCACCTGCCGTCAGGAGTTCAAAACCAGCCTGGCCAACATGGCGAAACCCCATTTCTACTAAAAATACAAAAATTAGCCAAGCATGGTGGAGCACACCTATAATCCCAGCTACCTGAAGGCTGAGGCAAAAGAATCACTTGAACCCAGGAGATGGTGGTTGCAGTGAGCTGACATTGTGCCAACTGTACCCCAGCCTGGGTGACAGAGGGAGAGTCCATCCAAAAAGAAAAAGAAAAAATGAAAGAAGAAAGAAAAGAAAGAAGGAAGGAAGGAAAAAAGAAAGAAAAGGAAAGGAAAGGAAAGGAAAGGGAAGGGAAGGGAAGGGAAGGGAAGGAAGGAAGAAGGAAGGAAGGAAGGAAGGAAGGAAGGAAGGAAGGAAGGAAGGAAGGAAGGAAGGAAATAGAAGCCATGTTTTGAAGACCTGTATTACAGGTACTTCATCAGTTCGTAAGGCATGAGTCCAAAACAGGTAGCAGTTGGGTTCTTGAAAGATCCTTGAATCATGTGCAGCTTCTTGGGCAAGTGGGTTAGTACCCTGTCATGAGATAGATGGAAGGAAATAATCTAGCACAATATTTTCTCTATCTGTGGTGATAAGGGGACAGTGAAGTCTACCAAATGGATGATATCTGTCAAGATGACATGGCACAGAGTATCAGCATTCTAGCCAGGCCTTGGAGACGTGGCACATCAGTGGAAAAGAGGTCTGGAATTTAGCTTTACTTTTATTTATTTATTTTGAGACAGTCTCCATCTGTTGCTCAGGCTGGAGTGCAGTGGTGCCATCTCAGCTCACTGCAACCTCCATCTCCTGAGTTCAAGAGATTTCCATGCCTCAGCCTTACAAGTAGTTGGGATTACAGGCATAGGCCACCACGCCCCGCTAATTTTTGTATTTTCAGTAGAGACAGGGTTTCGCCATGTTGGTCAGGCTGGTCTCGAACTCCCGACCTTAGGTGATCCGCCCTCCTCAGCCTCCCCAAGTACTGGGATTATAGGCATGAGCCACCGCGCCTGGCCAGCTACTGTCTTTTCTTTGACCCTTCCTTTCCAGTTTTTAAAGATAAAGCAGGAAATAATCTTCTCTGAAGATACTTGATACAAATTCTCCAAATCCAAAAACACATGCTTCCACTTCTTTGATAAAAATTTATTGCAGTTTGGTACCTGGTTCTAGTTCAGCTGGCGGATGAGCTGATTGATGCGTTCACCCCAGTAGCCACGTGTGCCCATCTCCTTAAGGAAGTCCACTCTATTTTTGGTAGCATGATGGGCCACTGAGAGGTGGAAAGGGAGCAAGAACCATGAGATCTCCTGGAAATGCTTCCCTGGGAAGGCAATTTCATGAATGAGGTCTTCCAAGCGAATGACACCAAACTCCGCCAGATGCTCCTCAATCACAGTGCTGTCTGTCAGAGAGATGGTCTTATTCTTGACCCTGGCTTGTCCACGTTTCAAAATGAGTTCCCGGACAGACTTCGGATTTGGAAATCCCCAGGACACATAAGGTTCCACTATACGCAGCATTTTTAGGTTCTGGGGAGTGACTTTTACAAAGACACCACTAAAAATTTTCTTTAGGCGAAGTCTTGCAACGGTTCTCTGAACCAGTAAACTCACACCATCAATCCTTTCAATGCATACGACAAAGGCTAAAGAATGTTTATCTGGCAATTCCAAGGCGTGAGGTTTCACTTCCAGTCGTCTGACATGCACCTTGTCACGAGTTTGCTGCCAGGAATCATGTAGGAATGATTCCAATCGCTTAAACCTGGGCCCTTTTCCTTTCCTCTGCTCCTTCTTTGCCAAAAGTGCCTGCTTTGCCTGAGTGGCTTTGAGGGCTTGATAAGCCTTCCTCTTTTTCAGGAGATTTTCTGGAACCAAAAGGATTTTTCTTTGCTCTTGCTCTGCCATCTTTCCGGTGTAGCAGCTACTCAACGTTTTATTTTTAGGAAGAAAGAACTGAGAAAATGATGTCTGGTTTTCAGGCCATAATACTGAGTCTTGGAGCCGAAGGTCGTAAGTGACAAAAGTTCAGCTCAGAACTTTGCTTTCTGCTTTTTCATTGTTACCTCTCCCACACCTGTTGTCCCCATACAGGCCTTTCAAAGAAATCTCTTTACTGCTCTCTCTCTTTCTTTTCCTTCCTTCCTTCCTTTATTCGTTCCTTCCTTCCTTCTTCTCTCTCTCTCTCTCTCTCTTTCTTTCCTGAGTCTCGCTCTGTTGCCCAGGCTCAAATGCAGTGGCGCAATCTCAGCTCACTGCAACTTCTGCTCCTGGGTTCAAGTGATTCTCCCACCTCAGCCTCCCGAGTGGCTGGGACTATAGGCACATGCCACCATGCCTGGCTAATTTTTGCATTTTTAGTAGACACGGGGTTTCACCATGTTGGCCAGGCTGGTCTTGAACTCCTGACCTCAGGTGATCTGCCTGCCTCAGCCTCCCAAAGAGCTGGGATTACAGGCATGAGCCACTGTGCCCAGTCACTTTACTGTTCATTTAGTGAGACTTGGGGATGGAGCAAACAAAAACCGCATATATTCAGGCTGCCACCATTACCTGGATGACTACACTCCCCATGCGACAGATTAGTCCTGAATCCTATTTGTTCCCTCCCTGGTAGTTCAGCCTCTAGTCCTTCAGCTTCATCTCACAAGAGCTCTCCTGCTCTTGGTCCTTTTTTTGCCAAGGTTCTCATAACCACACAGGTGCTCTAGACATGGCCAGACCAGCCAGGGCATGATCGGGAGGTAATCCACAGGGACTGCGCTGGTACAAATGGGTTAGCAATATTCAGTAAATGTTCCCTCCATGCTGGGCACTGTGGAGATGGTCAGGGGCTTCCCCCAGCCAAACTTCTAACCCTTTTGGGAAAAGAAAACACACTCATGTGAAAAGTTAGATGCCAATAAGGGTTTTTCCAAGTAGGAAACACTTGTAAAATGAGCAGTGGAAAGAAACGGAACATAGAAAATGTGACAAAACCATTTCACAGGCATTACGTTTTAAAAAGCAGACTAATAAAATTATGGAAAACTATAGGAAACAAGTCAAAGAGAGAACAGAAAAAAAGCCATACACCAACACACGATCGTCTTTAGGTGACGGGAATGTGGGTGATTTTTTTTCTACTTTTCTACATTTTCCTTGTTTTTTAAAAAATTATTCTCATATTTTTGATATAGAGTTTCACTCTGTCACCCAGGCTGGAGTGCAATGGCGTAGTCTCAGCTCACTGCAACCTCCACCTCCCAAGTTCAAGTGATTCTCCTGCCTCAGCCTCCTGAGTAGCTGGGACTACAGGAGTGCACCACCACACCCGACTAATTTTTGCATTTTTAGTAGAGACTGGGTTCCATCATATTGGCCACGCTGTTCTCAAACTCCTGAACTTGTGATCCGCCTGTCTCGGCCTCCCAAAGTGCTAGGATTACAGGCATGAGCCACCTCGCCTGGCCATCCATTATTTTCTACAACAGATTTTTATCGGCCTTGTTTCATTTTTAAAAGCACTATTTTTTTTTTATTTCAAAAGCAGTACAGGATCATTGTGAATAAAACCCAACAATTCAGATTTAAAATTCTTATTGTATGATACAGAAAAGAGTTCCATTTAATTTATAATATATGTCTTGGTGTTTTGTTTGTTTTTGAGACTGGATCTTGCTCTGTTGTTGAGACTGGAGTGCAGTGGTGCAATCTCAGCTCACTGCAACCTCTGCCTCCCAGGCACAAGCGATTCTCCCACCTCAGCCTCCAGAGTAGCTGGCACTACCGGCACGCGCCACCACGCCTGGCTAATTTTCGTATTTTTTGCAGAGTTGGGGTTTTTCTATGTTGCCCAGCCTTGTCTCAAACTCTTAGGCTCAAGTGATCCTCCCACCTCAGCCTCCCAAAGTGCTGGGGTTACAGGTGTGAGCCAGTGCGCCAGGTGGAGTGATTCTTATAAGCGGCTATTGCCCTTGCTAGCATCTTGGAAACTTTGTCTTTGGGACTGTTAGAAGATTTGGGATGTGAAGCTTCCACTCACTGTGGTCTTGTTTCCCTGCACCTAGGCTGTTGCTCTTTCCTGTCACTGCACCCTTCTAAGCAAAGCCAGGGCCACTTATGGCCTAGTTGGGTCTTGTGAATCTAACATCTGGTTGAACCAAAGAAGGACTCCCAGAGGGGGCACTGCAGGGGATAATACCAGTATCTAGCCCCTGCTGGGTGTGAGGCTTAAATGAGATAATATACACAGAGCTGCTGGCAGAGGATGTGACAAGTGTCAGCTTCCTGCTCTCCATTCCAGAAAAGAATACCTGGTTTTGGGCTCTTCTCGTTTTTTCCGTGGTGGAGAAAGGCCTGCTTCTGGCTTCCAGTCTGAACAGTCAAGCCTTTTTTCCTTCTTCTTTGCTTTTTCTCTTTCCTCTTCTTTTTCTCCTTTTGGGGGTCCAGGGGAGTCTGAAAAAAAAGGGTGGCATTGTCCCTCAACTAAGCTTTGTCTCAGCAGAACCCAGCATGATTTTAGTGGGGAGGGAGCAAAGGGCAGAGATGAGGACAGCTGCACACACACTCCCAATACACACCCAAACACATTTACACACAGACGCATATACAACAGGAATGTGTGTACAAATACACATTCTCACACGGGGACATAAATACATTGGCAAACACACCTCGGCACATATTCAGACAAATGTGTGGAGGTAGACATGTATGAGACCACAAACACATAATAGGCGCATGTACACAAAAACTCACGAGTTGGCTGGGTGTGGTGGCTCACACTTGTAATCCCAGCACTTTGGAAGGCCAAGGTGGGCGGATCACCTGAGGTCAGGAGTTCAAGACCAGCCTGGCCAACATGGCAAAACCCCGTCTCTACTAAAAATACAAAACTTAGCCGGGTGTGGTGGTGGGTGCCTGTAATCCCAGCTACTCAGGAGGCTGAGGCGGGAGAATCACTTGAACCCAGGAGGCGGAGGTTGTAGGGAGGGAGACAAGATCATGCCTTGCACTCCAGCCTGGGCAACAAGAGCAAGACTCCGTCTCAAAAACAAACAAACAAAACAAAACTCACAAGTCTACAAATCTTGCCATGTGTAAACAAACGCTGGCGCTCCCCCACTAGCTACCTCCTGGATCCAGAAGCCATCTGTCACTGATTAAGTCACTCAACAGACATATACTGAGTTCTGGCGCTGAGCCAGGCCCAGTCCTGTCCCAAGTGCTAGGAGAAAAAAAGGGCTCAAGTCAACCTTCTCCTCTCTCACCTAGCAGCCGCTTCCAGTTTTTGATGAGGACTTTGGCCAGGGACACCACCTCCTTGTCTGAGCAGTGCTTGCGGACCCCATTAACAGCCACTCCAATCCTGGTTGTCTGCAAAGTGAGAGGGTTAAGACCTGGTCTGGGGATGGATACACAGGAATGGCTGCCCTCATTGGCTGGTCCTGCCCCAGCTCTATCATCACCTCCCCTTCCAACCTGGACCCCCAGCATCCTAGCCCTGACTCCTGGCTGAGGTCAGAACCCCAATACTGTAACTGAGGCCCTGCTCTGCATGAGGCCAAGTAAGCCTGGCATGGAGGATACCGGTGGCTTTGGCGAAAAGCTGCGGCTAGGGTTGGGGGCGGCACTTGGCTGACCGTCAGGATCCCTCCCATTCCCAACCCTCTAGTATCTTTTTTTTTTTTTTTTTTTTTTTTTTTGAGATGGAGTGTCACTGTGTTGCCTGGCTGGAGTACAGCAATGCAATCTCGGCTCACTGCAACTTCCACTTCCCAGGTTCAAGTGATTCTCCTACCTCAGCCAACCAAGTAACTGGGATTACAGGTGTGTGTCACCATGCATGCCCGGCTAATTTTTGTATTTTTACTAAAAACAGGGTTTCACCATGTTGGTCAGGCTGGTCTTGAACTCCTGACCTCAGGTGATCTGCCTGCCTCGGCCTCCCAAAGTGCTAGAATTACAGGCGTGAGCCACCGTGCCCAACTCCCTCTAGTGTCTTTGAGCTCCAATTTCAACTCAGACAGCAGCCCCGGCTATGAGACCTTGCATCTGTCTGTGCTCGTTTTTCAGGGCCAGGAGCTTTGGGTAAATTTGGGGACTTAAATGGCCAAACAGGGATTTTTAAATGGAGAACTTTTCCCTCTCCCTGGATTATCGGCCTCTTGGATCCCACAGGCCCAGGGCCTTGGGAATTGGGGTATTCAAGAGAAGCAAACCAGTCTTGCTGCAAGGCCCAGAGGTCCCCCACACCTAGAAGATACCCTCTCTGCCCCTGAGATGCCCCCGTGTCTCCCTCAGTCCCTGCCTGGGAGGTCTGCACCTCAAGATCCCCTCCCCCCAGCCTCCCCCCAGAAATTCCTCCCAGGCCCCACCTTCCCCCACCGGGGCCTTTCCCTCCCCCATGAGCTCTCCCCCCAGGCACTGCCCCAAGGCTTCCTGCCCCCCCCACCTGTAGTAGCTGGATGGACATCTGGCAGCTGTGCAGCTTCTTCAGAAGGTCCAGGGCCCCTTCCTGTGGGAGGCCACAAGGTGAGGACTGGGGCCCGGGTCTTGCCCAGGCTTCGCTGTTTATTGTGTGGTCTTGGTGCAGGGAGCAGGAGGATATAGATAGACACACGGTGGAGGGACAGGCAAGGGGCAGAAGGAGGGAGAGAGACATCCTGTCCTTGACTGTGCTCTAACTTCATCCTCCACCACCTGCTGGGTTCAAATCCTCTGAGCCAGGCTCCTGACTGCCAGTTTTTGGTTCTGCTGTGCCTTCCCCCAAGAATGCCCTCCCCCTCCCCCAACTCTCCTGCAAAATGAGTTCCTTCCTGGCTTATTGTGCCTGTAGCATCCTTCCCTCACCTCCCCACAGTGAGCTTTGCAGAGTGAGGACCGGGGGCTTTTTAAACAAAACAGCTTGGCCAGCATGGTGGCTCATGCTTGTAATCCCAGCACTTGGGGAGGCTGAGGTGGGTGGATCACTTGAGGCCAGGACTTCGAGACCAGCCTGGCCAACATGGTAAGGCCCCAGCTCTACTAAAATACAGAAATTAGCCAGGTGTGGTGGTGTGCAGCTGTGATCCCAGTTATTCAGGAGACTGAGGCAGAAAAACCACTTGAGCCCAGGAGACGGAGGTTACAGTAAGCCAAGAACGCACCACTGCACTCCAGCCTGGATGACAGAACGAGACTCCAACTTGAAAAAAAAAAAACAAACAAAAAAGCAGCTTTACTGAGGTGTAATTGACGTACAATAACTGCACATTTTGCAAGGTACAATTTGATGAGTTTCAACATACATGTACACCCATGGAACCCTCATCACAATCAAGATAAGAGCACAGCCACCAGCCCCAAAAGCTTCCTTCTGTCCCTTTCTAATCCATCCCTCCTTATCCCCAATCACGAACAACCACAATTCTGCCTTCTGTTACTGTAGTTGACCTTGTATGTTTAAGGATTTTACATAAAGAGTATGCAGGGCAAAAACCCTTTTTCATCTGGCTCATTTCAGCATAATTATTTTTGAGACTCATCCATGTTGTCTCATGGATCAGTAGTTCCTTTTCATTGCTTTGTGGGTTGTTGTTTTTTTTTTTGAGACAAGGTCTCACTCTGTTGTCCAGGCTGGAGCACAGTGGCAAAATTGCAGCTCACTGCAGCTTCGACTTTCCAGGTTCAGGTGATCCTCCCACCTCAGCCTCCCGAATAGCTGGGACCACAGGTATGCATCACCGCACCTGAATAATTTTTTGTATTATTTTGTAGAGATGTTTTGCCATGTTGCCCAGGCTGGTCTCAAACTTCTGGCCTCAAGTGGTCCTCCTGCCTCAGCCTCCCAAAGTGCTGGGATTACAGGCGTGAGCCACTGCACCCAGTCTATCACAATGTTTTAAATTCATTCACCAGTTGATGGGACTTACAGATCGGTTCCCGTCTGGGGCTGCTACAAGCAAAGCTTCTAGGTACATTCATCTCAAGTCTTTGTGTGAACAGATACTTTAACTTCTCCCGGGTAAAGAGAACTGTTTTAATCTCTGAGCTCTTAGGGCTCAGCAGAGTCTAGCACTCCCTGAGTGGATGAACTTGTGAAGGAGTAAAGCAGAAAGAAGGCGGGAGGGAGAAAAAGGAGGCTTAGATTTGAAAATTGGTGAGCTGCCAGGCCCTGGACACCCTCTGACCCATTTCAGCCTTCTCCTTTCCCCCAACCTCTTCCTAGAAGCCATCCCTGCCTGCTGGCCTGAGATCAGTTCCCTAGGGACCACCAGCTGACGGTGTCCTGTATGTTCCTATCCTTGGCCCACACTTCATGGTTCCAGCTGCCAATCTCTACCCTGCCAGGACCTGGACCATGTCCCAAGAGCTGCCCTCTGTCAGTCCATAGCCTCCCTGAGAACTGGGGTTCACAGTATGTTATCAGAGGCATGACCTGCAGATGTGTGCGCAGATGACCTTGGGGTGAACAACTCCAAGTGTAACATTAGTTAAAGGCTTACTATGTACTGGGCACTCTTCTAAGTATTTTACCTGTATTATCTCATTTAACTCTCACAACGACCCTATCAGGTAGGTCATGTGTATTATTCCTTTTTTTTTTTTTTTTTTTTTTTTTTGAGATGGAGTTTAGCTCTTTCACCCAGGCTGGAGTGGGGTGATCTCAGCTCACTGCAACACCTGCCTCCTGGGTTCAAGTGAGTCTCCTGCCTCAGTCTCCTGAGTAGCTGGGATTACAGGCACCCACCACCACGCCCGGCTACTTTTTGTATTTTTAGTAGAAATGGGGTTTCGCCATGTTGGTCAGGCTGGTCTCGAACTCCTGACCTTGTTATCCACCCGCCTCAGCCTGCCAAAGTGCTGGAATCACAGGCGTGAGCCACCATGCACGGCCCATTACTCCCATTTTTACAGAATTATTATCCCATGTTCTCAAAAGAACGATTCAAGAAACAAAGAGGTTAAGTAATTTTTTCAGGGTCACATGCTTTATAAGGAGCCAAGCTGAGATTCAAACTCAAGGCTTTTGGGCTTTAACCACTATACAAATTGCGTTAGCGTGGGCATAGATCTGTCTAGACATACACGATCATGGAATATCAACATGGGTAAGTTCGGTGGTGTGCTGGCCAACATTTAGCAACAAGTTCTCAAGGAAAAAAACTGACTTGTAGTGCTTGCCAGTTTCTGTGGTGTAAACACTCATCCCATGGCCAATTTCAAGCTACCGACATGCTGTCACTGAACTGAAGGAAGTTTTGGGAGGAGATGTGCAGTCCCATACCATTATACAGTATTTCCACCGTACAGAAAACAATAGAAGCAAATTACCTCTGACCATACATGATAGTACGATGTAGTCAAAAGTTACGAAGTGATTATTTTGGAGGACTCATTACCTTTGTTTTTAATGTAGCTTATTTAATTGTAAGCAGATAATGTAATTTTTAAAAAAGAATTGCTGTGTTTAACCACCAGGTTGCAAAATTCCTGAAAATGCAGCCATCCGTGTGAAGCCAGTTCCAGCTCTCCACTGGGTGCATGCCTCGTGTGTCGCAGCTGTATAACTGGGTCACGTTGGAGAAAAATAGCCATGAGCCTTGACAGTAGCTGGGTTCACAAAGCCTTGTGCAAACGTTGCTGGGTGTCTCTCTCTGAATACACATGTGAGTTGTGTAGCCAGCAGTATCTCTGGTCTAGGTGTGGAACTGTAAATATGCAGCTCCAGGCACAGCTGTGTCTATTTGTCTTTGTGGGATGATGCCTGTGTTATAGCATCTGAATGTATAAATGTGGCCGCTTGCTAAGTCTGTAGCATTGCATGTCTGGGTACAGCTGTGCTGCATGCACACGTGTGTGGCTGTCTTTGTGTATCATTCTGTAACGAGAATGGTCAGTGTGGGTCATATGGGTCACTAAGCTCGTCATGTTGGTGTCGATAGCCATGTCTCATATGCAGTTAGGTTCAGTTGCTTGTTTAACTATTGTGTTGTGGCTGCATGTGTATAGCTATGTGTATGTGTAGTCGTGACTGTAGGCACTTGGTTGTGTGTTTGAAGCTGCTTCTGTTAGTGCACGCTCAGAGGATGTGACAAAGCCCTAAGTGGCTGAGACTTCAGCCATTGGCAGTAAACCCTGGGCCTGAGCTGCAACGTGGAGGATCCGTCTTATTACAGGAAGTAGGTCCTCCTCTGCCTAACCACCGCTGGGTGTGTCTACTTTCACTCCCACAGCAGGCCCCACCTTTCTCGGCCAGATGCCCAGAGCTCTTGCCCACCCAGATGCTGCCAAGAGCCCAGGCGCAGACGTGGCTGTAAACTGGCTCCGAGCTGCAGGAACCCTGCGGCCAGACTTTCATCTTTTCTGGGGACAGCTCTGGGCACTTCCACAGGAATCCATCTCCAGGAGACACCATTTCCTCTTCCCATTTCACAGAAGAGGAAACTCGCAGCCCAGAGAGGGAAAGTTGAGTGGCTCGTCTAGGGCCATAGAAGGAGTGAGGAGGCAGCCAGGGCAGGTCCCTTCCTCTTCAGCCAGAGCTCTACCACAGCAGGCTGCCTCTCCTGGGGCCTCTAAGCGTCCCCACCCTACCCCTCTTACCCAGAGGCCCAGAATTTCTTTCCTGGTCCAAGCTTGGGGGTCAGTGAGGAGCGGGGCTGGGATAACCTGTCTACTTGAACTGGAATTTGGCTCAGAGTCCCTGACTGGGCTCTGCCATCCCCAGCTGAGAAAACACCCCCCATGGCTTGAAGCTCAGTTGTACTGAGGATTTTGGAGGAGTCCGGAACGGGGAGCATGTGGAGGCTGGGAGTGTCAGATGAGAAGCTCCCAGCACTCTGTAGGTTTGTGTATACCTTTCCATGTTGGACTTGGCTGTGTAGAAGCGGGTCTGGTTCGCCAGCTCTTACCAAGCAACAGTCTGAGTCCTAGTAAGGGCTTTACATCTCTGTCTCATCTCTCCAACCCTCACTGCTGCCAGCAAAAACAAGAATCCAGTGACACCCCTTTTCCAGAGGCAGATAATCTCATCTTTCTTACAGATAAAGAAACTAAGGCTCTGGCCTTTATTTATTTATTTTTATTATTATTTTTGAGATGGAGTCTCACTCTGTCACCAGGATGGAGTGCAGTGGTGTGATCTTGGCTCACTGCAACCTCTGCCTCTGGGGTTCAAGCAATTCTCCTGCCTCAGCCTCCCAAGTAGCTGGGACTACAGGCATGCGCCACCATGCCCAGCTAGTTTTTTGTATTTCAATAGAGACGGGGTTTCACCATGTTGGCCAAGATGGTCTCAATCTCCTGACCTTGTGATTCACTCGCCTCAGCCTCCCAAAGTGCTGGGATTACAAGCATGAAGCACGACGCCCAGCCAGCTCTGGCCTTCATATGGACACCCACTCATGACTGCCTAGTGTCCATTCTAGGGCTCCCTGCCACTCCATGGTTCCAGCAACCCTTCCCTGGGCCTTGGCTACTCTTGCTGGCTCTAAAACTTCCTGCAGGGTTTCTTCCTTTCCCAGGTTCCTAGATTTCCTGGAAATGCAGGTCGCTGCAGCACAGGGCTAGGGATGGTAGGAGGAAGAGGACCCCGGGACAGGGTGGGAGGTGGGATGGGTATGCTACCAGGTTCCCTTTCTTCCCTCCGGCCCTCCAGAACCCAAATTTGCACTGGGCCTCCAAATTTGCACTGGCCAGGCGACCAGTCCGCCGCCAGCCGGAGGCAAAGATCACAGGGAAGATCAAACATTAACTTCCAGTTGGGTCTGTGCTCTGGCCGGGACCCTCCCTTACGGCTGTCAGCCCTGCTCCCCACCTCCCACCGAGCCGCTCCTCCCTCTGCCCTCGCCCTCTCTGCACAGGCCTCCAGCCCGGCCCCCTTCGCCCGCCCTGCGGGCCCCCGCACCTGTTCGGCCCCCGCCCGCCAGTCCGGGCGGCACCCAAGGCCAAGGAAAGGAAAAGTTGCCAAAAGAACCGCTCCTGAAGCCCCAAGCTGTTGGGTCGCAGGATCCACGACTCTTTGCTTCTCTCCTGCAGACCCACTCCGGGGTGCAGGGATGCCGCTCAGCAACCCTCCTCAGCCCAAGTTTCTCGGCCCCTTCTAGGGCCACCAGGATTTACCCCCAGCCCCGCCCCTGCCATTGCCGCCGCTCCCGGGGCTGTGCACACGCCAAGTCCCGGGACTCCCGAAGTCCTTTCCCACGTCCAGCTCTCTTCACCCGCTTTCCTGGGCCCTGCACTAGCTGCCCAGGGTGAACCCTACACGTCCAAAGGGACGTGCACAAGCGGCGCCTCCAGGACCCGCATGATCCCCTGGCGCCCTGGGCCACACACAAGCCCAACTCGAGGTGCCCAGCAAGGGTCCCCAAAGGGCCTGGGGCCCTGCACCAGCCGCGCCTCTCTCGGGTCCCCGAGTCCCATTTGCGCCCGCGGGGTGTCCCGCCAGCACGCCCCCACCCCGGACTCCCAGGCTCGCCCGCGCCTCCTGGGGGCGGGGTCAGTGGCCCAAACTCTGCAGCCTCACCGTTTTCTTCCTGGCCACCATCTTCTCCAGCTTTTTGGCGATCCTCAGCAGCTCCTCTTCCTGGCCCATGCTGGCCCTCGACGCCTGGCGGGGCGAGGGGCGCAGGGGCAGCAGTCGGGCCTCGGAGGCAGGAGGTGCGAAGGCGGAGGGCGCTCAACCTGCGCGGGCCCCAAACACTACACACACGCCCGGCGGGGGCGGGGCTCCCCCCCCTCCGCCCGCCTCCCAACTGTACGGGGGAGGGGTGGCGGGCACTAAATATAGACTTCAAGGACTCACCCGGGCACTGATTGCCTGCGCCGGCCGGTCTGGCCTCAGGGGAGGGACGAGGCTGAGAGAAGGGGCCCTCCTCCTCCGGCCCTTCCAGGGGAGCCGGGGCCAAAAGGAGATTTGGGGAGGAGGTCTCTCTGGAGAGCTGCGAGGCTGTGTCCCCGGCCACAGGCAGGCAGCGGTCGTGGCGCGGAGGGCGCCCGGGGGTGTCCCGGGGGATCCGGGAAACGTTCTGGGCTCCCGCGTCTCTGCACCTTTGCAGCTCAAAACGGGAAGACCCAGATCCGCGCCTATGCCCAAGTGGAGGCAATTCGGTGCGCCGGAATCCCTTTGTGTGTGTGTTTATCAGTAAATCCAGCTCTGCTTTAACCTGCACTCACTCCATCGCGCACAGCCTGTGCATGCCACGTGTATCCAGGCTCCTGTTTGCATCTGTATACCTAAAACTGAGTTTGCTGGCTGTTTTGTTAGTAAGGCTTTGCATTTCTAACAAGCTCCTACGTGCTGGGGGTGCTGCTGGTCTCAGAACTACACTCTGAGTAGTGACAGCTTGTGGGGAGATTCTTTTTATTTTTCTGAGACAGGATCTCCCTCTGTGCCTAGGGCTGGGGTGTAGTAGAGCAATAACGCCCACTGCCTCAACTTCCTCAGCTCAAGCAATCCTTTCTGCCTCAGACTCCTGAGTAGCTAGGACTACAAGCGTGAGCCATCCATCATGCCCAGCTAATTTTTAAATTTTTTCTGTAAAGACTGGGTCTATGTTGCCCAGGCTGGTCTGGAACTCCTGGTCTCAAGCAATCCTCCTGCTTCGGCCTCCCAAATTGCTGTGATTACAGCGAGATTCATTCTTAAGTGCATCAAATTTTGAGAAATACCGATCCAGGTGCAAGGCTGCCAAGTCAGGCCAGTGCCCCCTCAGCGGGTTTGCAAGGGTCATCTTGGTGGAGGGGTGGAAATACCATTGTGCCTACCTTCCCCAGCCATGCGACGATCTGCCTTCCCGTGGAATCATCTCCAAGTGTCTCCTATAGTCCCGGTTCTCTTGCTAAACAAATGAGTTTAATGGACAGAAATGATCTTCCTGTGACAGGGGTGGGGCTCAGGAACCTGGAGGGAAGGCATGAAAAGTGGGCCACAGTGTATGCAGGTTGGGGAGCTGGGATTGGGGTGTCAACTGAAATTTCTCAATTTTCCTGAGAGAACCCAATTCCAGCTTGGGTCATAGAGGCAGCTTGGTGTGGACACCTATCTTCCAATTGCTATGTAACTGGGATCAAGGTAGGATGGCATGGGTTTTTCATCCATTTAACAAATACGTATTGTGTCCAAGCAATGAACAAGACAGACCCTGTCCCAGCAAGCTGTCTATGGGCAAGAGAAAGCTTAACCAAAAACAGACATGGTCAATTAATGTATTTATCACAGCTGGGGTGAGGGGCAGGAAGCAGTGGAGGACAACTAAGGACACATTTGAGGGATCCGTACTATTTGGAGTGTCACCTTCTCTGAAGAAACAAAGTTTAAACTTTGGCTGAAGCGCATAGCAGGAGTTAAGGGGAGGAGGAAGAGTGTTCATGAAAGAGAGGAAGAGGCATTCAACATACATTTGTGAAGCACCTAGTATGTGCTAGGCAGTTCTTGTTCTGGACATCCAGAGAGGAACAAAATAGTCCTCCCTTCTTGGAGTTCCAAATGTGCAAAGCTTAGGGATGGGAGGGTGCCTGGCCTGCCTGACAATGTTGGAGGAGCTGAAAACTTGGCATGGCTGCAGCAGAGGTGAGGAGTGTGGGGAGAGGCAGTGGGTGGGACCTGAGCTTGCAGCGCTGCCATTCACGTTTGGGAGGTTAGACTCTAGTGGTTTGGGATGCTGGGAGGCCTTTTGGCCAACTCCTGGCCAAGTCCTTCTGGGTTGAGGAGACTCATCCTCAGCAGCCTGAGGGTACTTAGGATTGCCTTATAAAATGATGGCCAGGAGTGGTGGCTCATGCCTGTAATCCTAGCACTTTGGGAGGCCAAGGCAGGAGGACTGGTTGAGGCCAGGAGTTCAAGACTAGCCTGGGCAATAGAGAGAGAGACTTTGCCTCTATGAAACACTAAAAAAAGCCAGGCATGGTGGCATGCACCTATAGTCCCAGCTACTTGGAAGGCTGAGGCAGGAGGACTGCTTGAGCCCAGGAGTTCAAGGTTACAGTGAGCTCTGATTGTGTCACGGTACTCCAGTGTAGGAGACAGAGCCATCAAAAAAAAAAAAAAAGGATTTTTCTCAAACTTCAAACTTCCACCCTGTCCTCACCCTGAACTGCGGGACATCAAAAGAAGCTAAGATTCCTATAACATCAGGGTATGAAGGACCCTAAGGAAACATGGAGTCCAACTTCCTTATTGTACAGGTGGGAAGACTAAGGCCCAAAGAGGGTGATGATCCTCTCAGGGCTGGACCTGTTCATACGCATCCTATCCCCTCTGCCTACCTGTCTACCCTGTAGGTCACTAGAAGATTATTCCTGGACACAGCTTGGACAGCTCCCCACATTTCTCTGATCAGGAGGTTTGGGATGGTAGGAAATTGATGCCCTCAGAAAGGACACCACCAACCAGCAAGAAACCAAAGTTGGTGGAAAACACCCAGTTTCTTCATTCTCAATGGGACAACCTGAAGGCATGTTCTAGTCAATACCATTTCTCACAGGTCCTCAACAAAAGTCAGAGACAAAAGAGTCTTGCTCTGTTGCTCAGACTGGAGTGCAGTGGCGCCATCATGGCTCACTGCAGCCTTGAACTCCTGGGCTCAAACAATTCTCCCACCCGAGTAGCTGGATTACAGGTTCTCACCGCCACGCCCAGCTCTTTATTGCTTTTTGACTTTCTGTTTCACTTCTCTATTCCCTTATTATGCTTCCTGGGATCATTTCACAGATAAGCTACTTGCTCCCAAATCCTTGTCTCAGGGGCAATCAATAGAGACAGTGGCAAAGGACCATCGGAGAAGCAGAATTTCAGGTCTCCAGACTCCTAGTCCAGTGCTCTTTCCAGGGTTTCTCCACCTTGGCACTATTAACATTTTGGACTGAATAATAATGCATTGCTATGGAGGGCTGGCCTGTGTACTGTGGGACATTTAGTAGCATCCCTGACCTTTGTCCACTGCATGCCACTAGTACCCTCCAGTTGGGAACAGTCAAAACCATTTTCTGCTTTACCAAAAGTTTCCCAGGGGCAAAACACTGCACTCGCAAACCACTACTCCACATCAGGCCATCTCCCTTGCCAGGACCAGAAAAAGAATTTCAAGCGCCAAGATTCTGTTCCCCTCCCTGTTCTTCAGATTGAGGGAATGTGTTAACTTCTCTTCCTGGGTCCTCAAGGGGTGTGGTTTTAAAGGCAAGAACTTCCCAGTGACATGCCTGACCTGCCTTCTTTCACCTCCCCATCCGGGAGCTTAAAGGTCTTTGTCTAACTTTCACACATGTGGGAAGATAGACTGCCCAGGTGGGCTTCTTTTGTTTAGAAAGGCCTTGAAAAGCTATGGGAGGACAGTGGGCCAAACAACCAATCAGATGTCAGAGTCGAAGATCAATCATTCCAGAGGAAGTCTGAAGGAACTCCTCTCACGGGACAAGAACTTGAATGGGGCAGGAGTAACTCCCAGGTTAAAAGACCCCTTGCTCCTTACCTGTGCAGATTTCCCTCTCTGGGATCCCCTCCCATGACAGTGTGGGAGCTGGCTTTCTCTCTCTCCCTACTTCTCTTTTCTCTCTCTGCCTAATAAGTCACTTTTCTGCAAAAGCTCTTAGGGTCTGATATTTACTTGAACAATATCACTGCACCAGGGCCTCCTACCCATTCTTGGGTGGACGAGAGCCCAAGGACCTGAGCACGTCGGGCACATCAGGCACCTTGGGCACGTCCCATCGGGGAGCTGAGCCTCCCCCACATCCTGCAACCCGGTCACAAGATCTCATAAATGAAACCACTGGAAATTGATCCCCCAATACTTTATTAGAGATGAATGAAATAACAAGTCTGAGATGAATGAAACCAGATACTGGGGGCTAAAAAGACAACCCTGTTCCTGTGGGAACCACAGACCCGTCAGGTCTCCAGGGGAAACAGCACAGCCTCTCCAGCCGGGCAGCAGTGTGGGCCACTGGTGCTCTCTGGTCTCCCCACTGCTTAGCTTGGCCCATTCCTGTCAGGGCCCAGCACCCAGCAACCAGCAAGTTGAGATGTTAGCAGTTGATGATGGCTTAGGTGTATCTGCTTTCTCATTGGGGCTGAGAAATGACAGAACTTCTACTGCTGGGAAGCAGAACCCTAAGTCTCTGCCCTCCCATTTCTATCATTCTCTCTTCTTTGCCTCTCCATTCCCTCACATTAGAAGGCCCCTGTGTTGACCAAGAGAAAGAGAACAGAAGTGGACATCCATCAACCCAGACCATTCCTTTCCTTCCTGCTAAATCATGAACACAGGCAAATGTGAGTATATCTGACTCTACTACTTGGCTGGGGAATATAGGAGAGTGCCTAGGGAAGGCTGTGCTGTCCCTCAAAATGAGTGACATTCAGAATATTTTTATTTAACAGCCAGTACAGCATGCAGGTTGAACAGCCAGATGGATGTGCTCTGTAGACAACTGCAATGGTCATACAGGTATAAACCAGCTGAGTCCAGAGCCATGCCCTGGAATATGACCCTGCCCATTCCCAAGCCCAACCCTTAAGACCAGCTTTCCACCAAAGGACCACCCCTGCAGGGCCCTTGTCTTACTTATGTGGCATCTGAAGTGCCTAACGCAGGTCTAGACATAGAGCTGGAATTTAGAAAAGGAATACGAGACTAATAAATGACTGGCTGAGAAGACAGTCCCTACTTGGCAGAGTCCCTGATCTAGAAGTCAGTGATGGAAAGCTCTCCTCCCCTTGTGAAATCCCCAGACTGACG